CAAACCCCCTATAATGTGGCGCAGTTCAGGGTGTGGGACCCTTCATTTCACATATTCCCCGGCACACCGAGGTGGGAGGGAGAATTCTGGGAGTTGAAGTCCACACATCTTAGAGTTGCTAAGGTTGAGAAACACTGGTCTATGTCAATTGAACTGACAAAATTGGTTGACCAGTTGAGAATGTCCATATTTGGAGCTTTTTGTTATTTTGTGCATATATATATATTTGGCCCAGGGATTAAATCTGATAGTGATTCAGTTTGCAAGAGGAAGCATATGATTGATGTGATGTTTCTCATTTTTCTGGAATTCTGTATTACTGGAGTATTTCAACATTTATATTGTTGCAGTCTTTGGGAAGACATCTGAGTGCTGAAATACTCCAATAGAGTTACATATTTCTGTGGACTGCTTTTGGGAAGTGAAATATTCTAAGTAACATAATCCATGAATAGAGTTAAAATTTGGCAATAGTTAAATTAGATAAACCTTTGGAGAATTAATAACTGGGTAGTGGTGGTAAATCATAAGTTCTGGTGGGTTGTGCATTAAAACTGTGGTATAATTCCAGAAGTAGCGTCTTTGTTTTTTGCTACAGGAATTGAGAAGGCATTTCTAAATAATCTGCCTTCTATGACTTTGCAACCAACTTTATGTTCAGACCCATGAATATGGGTCATTGCACAAAGAGACTAAAGCTAAACAGTGTAAAAGCTCTATATTGTCCTGAGATAACCCACTGGTATGATGGGTGTGGTTGGAATAATGTGAATGTTCCCGATTAGTTAGAACCTAAATTCATGCCAATTATCACTGGTGAAAACCAGCCAGAAGAAGCTGGGATAATTGTCCAACACGTCAACACATTCCTTCAAAGGTTCCTCAAAAAAATGAACACTTTCTATTCATTCTTTGGCCAGTTTCCACTGTGTCTTCCTACTTTCCAAAAGGTGAAAAAGAGAATTACTCCTATAAATTATATAATACAGAGATTTTACTTATATCTTGTGGTTGACTGCCTGAAGAATTACAGGTGTACTTTGATGATCTTTAATTAAATACAGAATTTTAACACATTAATATCATAAATGCTTTTAATATTATTAATCCTGAGATCTTGCAAA